AACCATAAGGTTTACTAGGAAACTATAAAGGTTTCGTATTTTTGTTATGAAACCTTTTTTCGCTGTACAGAACTTTAAAATGTTTCGTAGTAGACTTCTGCGTGACCACGTTTTTTCAGTCACGTCACGTCACGGTCACGAGCTGCCTGGTCACGGTCACGTTCATAGTCACGGAGTTTTTTTGAAACTAGTCACGATCACGTCACGGTCACGAGCTGCCTGGTCACGATCACGGTCATAGTCACGGAAATTTTTCGAAACTAGTCACGGTCACGTCACGGTCACGGAAATTTTGAATTACTAGCTGGATTTTTGTGCTACAAAATCAAGATTTATATTGATTTCACATATTTTCTCTGTAAAAAACGCAGAAAACACGTAAATCAATTAAAATCTTGATTTTTTTTCACAAAAATTAGATTTCTAATCTCAAAATTTTTCACCATTAAGTCACGATCACGAGCTATTTGGTCACGATCATGAGCTATTTGGTCACGGTCACGAGCTATTTGGTCACGGTCACGATCCCAGTCACGACAATTTTTCGAAAACTAGTCACGAGAGTCCGTGACCGTGACCGTGACCGTGACCATTTTGCAGAAGTCTATTTCGTAGGAGATGGTTCGGAGGGTGTACCCGTGCTCAGATCCTTTTAAGGTTTCGTACATTTTAACAACCATTTTTTTAAGCCTTTGGATGTATTTGGAAGCTTTTAGACACCTACGAAACTTTTTTGGAGGGTTCAGTAAAGTACCTTTTTTTACAGTGCACTAATAAGAGCTGATTACATCGAAACCCTGCAGGCATATATCAAGCGAACTCTACATCTTCCTAAACTAGAATATAGAAATTACATAGAAAACAGTAGCGAACTCTACATCTTCCTAAATTTATAGATAGAAATTGTATTGAAAGCACTAGCGAGCTCTATATCTTCCCAAAAAAGTATAGAAATTACATAGAAAACAAGACCGAACTCTACAAATTTCAATTCTTCAAACAAAATGGCTGTGAAAATTCGTTTCCGTAAAAAATATTAAATAATAAAAGCAACGATTTTAATTTTCGGAGTTTTTTTTCGAAGAAATGAGTTGTAACGAATTAAAAATCGAAAATTTGACACTTTCAATCGCTTTTAATGTGAAAAATTCAAATTAATTGAAAAATGAAATATAATTTAATTTAATAAACTTTGAACTTTCGACTGTATGTTCGCAAATGAGAGGATACCGTCGATTGACCAGAATCCTGTTATCAAGTCAGCAGCTATCACTAGTGAAGGCCAAATATTTTGTCTGTTCTGTGTGACTATTGTAAAAAAACTAATTAATCCGTGATATAGCGCACATATTCCTGTGCATTGGATTGACTAGGTATTGTCATCAGTTGTGTTACTCAAACAACGTGCAACAGAACAAGCAAAATCACAATACTTTGTTTATGAAGCGAACGAAGTATCTCATTGATATGTTTTGCCTATTTATTGTGTTTACATTCATGAATGTGAAAAATGCAAAGTTTATTTTGCCACGTATGTATAGATAAAATAAGGCTTGTATTTTATTGCTCAGTATTTTATATACTGAATACTTAGTATCTTTTTTATTATACGCTCAGTAGTTTTTGCTCAGTAAAAAATTAGTTTTAGTATAGTAAATAATTTGATAATTTCAATGATCAATTTTATAAGGCTCGCCATTTAATATGTTTTTGCTCAGTTTTTTATGTATCTATACCACGAAAAACGGTACAATTCGACATGATTCGAATCGGGCACAACCATTAATTTTTTTTTAACGTGATGCATCGTAGTGCTTGGTTCTCAAACAACAGAATATTTTTGAAGGCTGTTGAAACTCACAGAATTACATCATTTTCATCACAACATTGTCATGTTGATACATGTGAGACGTGTTTACCAATCAGAGAGCCCAAAATCGGTCATAATTTCGAGACGGATAAATTTTATATTATAGTTGACCGTGTATAAAAACTTTTATAAAGAAAAAATAATGAAACTGTTCCTTTTGGCTAAATTGAAAATTTTTTCTAAGAATAAATTGAAATTCGGGTAGAAAATGCTCCTGCAGTCCTTTATAATTGGAACCGGAAGATGTGAGGGCTACCTTCGGTTCCTTTGAGTTCTGCAATAGACTTGCAGCACTACTATGAACCAACGTAAGACATGAGATTTTAATCAACAAAGCTTTATTGCATTAGCGATGCTTTTGTAGATATTGGTGGTATACCACGACGTCTTTTCTCACCAACTTTAACCATGTTAGCAGAGAGTAGTGGTTAGCAGTAGTCTAATATAATTATTGTACTGATGATATGTTTACATAAAAATCTTTTATAAAACGCTGGATGATTGCACATAACATGTCACCATTTTACTTTATCTATTGGTGGTCTATCACACCAAACATCGAGTTTTTTTTACATTGATCGAAATTATACCAATAATTTTCTTTAGTAACTGCGTCTTCAGTCATTTCAGCATTGCTAAACACCATTCCTTTCAACCAATGTCGCTGTCTATTTTTTACTCTGTTCTTGTTTTCATTATAAACAGTTTCATTATTATTTATTTCTTTTTCAGGAACTGAATCTGATACTTCAATGGTTTCCATCGTTGTTATCATTTCCAAACCTAATTACGGATAATATTGTGCACGGATAATCGATCTAACCTGTCGATACTAATAGATGTCTTTTATTTTCTAAACGACAGTTATATATATTCTTAACGGACTAGGAAAAACCAATGAGTCTTGGAGAAAAACCTAACGAGAGGAAATATAACTGCACTATATCAAGAGAAAAGAGCGCTAGGAAAATATCTTAGAGCAAAGGAAAGGAAATAAAAGCAGAAAATATATCTATGTATATTTTATTTTACGTGATAGGTAGAATACATGAAATTCACAAAGGCTTCATAGTCTATCCTATGAGATAGCCCATCAGCCTCTTGAAGGCAGCTTTCTGCCTGTGATGGTACAATGCGTTGTCTATAATCATTAGATTCTTCAATGCGAAAGTGTCGTTCTTTTTCAAATCAATAGAACTTTTTGTGGGCTACACATTGATGCTAAAATGTGTATGAAAATATGATGTGCTGTAAGTTTTTCCAAGACTTTACTGGTAAAATCAGATGGAAATGGCATAGGATTAATACTGCTGTAATGGACTCGGATGTTTACTATTGAATCAACGAATGCACCGATCGCGATGCTGTCCAGATCGCTTGAGTTCAACCCCATCAATGTACTATATAATGTCGTAATTTGTTTTACAACTAAAAACTTTCGGTACCTTATGTGCACTAATGAAATTAGTCTTCAAACAGCGACGAACTTAGGTCCTCTGATCTGTGCAGGTGGCTTAGAAGCTTTTACATTAATACATCATGACACAACATTTTACGAGAAAACTGCAATCTGCCATCAATATGGCGCACGTTATAGAGACTAGTATACGATGGCCTACTGATGTCTCTCATCTGATTTGAATCGCATCGATTCTAGGCATTTCAGACAGCTTTTACAACTTGTTTCTTTTTTAAATGTAGCAGAACCATCCGTTTTCTCAGCTATAAACGGCATGAAAGTAGAACAGCTCCACAACAATTCGTGACGAACACTGCATATATTAACTATGCAAAAGGTATTTCTGAGTGCAAACCTTTCTTCGTCATTAGAAACATCAATATTTTTGCATCTTAACTCTATGCAAGCGTGTATATATTCCGCTGACTTTTCTCTTGAAAGATAAACTCATTAAATATTACTTCGCTCTGTTCACAAACGCAGATAGTATATTCTTGAGCTCCGCGATCTCATAGAATAGACTCTAATCCTGAGGAAGCGCAATACACCCCATTCTAAACTTCTTCAACACATCATCTATGCGTTTTCTGAACTCACATAGGCAACCGTCATGGTGACAAAAGCCAGTTGTATATTATAAACCACGAAGACAATCGGTTATACTCTTGACCCGCATTGACGAACTGCTTTAAAAGAAATACACTGTCACAAACATTATGATATGATTTTGTAGCCCTCAAAAAGCGTTACATGTCCTCAAACAATAGCTTCAGTACTATAATTTATAGTGGAGATCGTATGGACACAGCTATCAAATCTAATGCCTTTTGTGTCGGGTTATATCAGGATGCACGTTGGAAAATATTGAGGATAGCATATTTTCATACATATTTAGCATCCATTTGTAGCTCACAAAAAGTTTTGTTTGTTTTATAAAGAACGGCTCTTTCGCATTGAAGAATCCGGTGATTATAGACAGCGCATCATGTCATCACAGAGAAAAACCTGCTCTCGATAGACTGATGGGATATCTCATAGAATAGACTATGAAGTCTTTAGGCAAACTCTATATCTCTTGTAATGGCTATACTACGTAGATTCTTCTGAATGTTGTGAATGACCTATAAAAAAGTCAGAAGTTCGCTCTAGTTAGGCATATCGGATTGAAATTTGTATCACAAGCGTTTCTCAGTGAGATCATGAATTTCTGAAAACTTCAGCCGAAATGCATCATTTTAAGTGGCTAATATATTCTGTGGCGATCTTAAGTGAATATTTGACAAAGGATGCGCTTCTGACAATAACTTTAAAGTATTTAACGCGAGCATCGCAATATCTTGTTTTCGTTATGTTTTTTGATGCCGTGATCGCTCCTGAAAGTTATTCGAGTATCTGAGTACAAAACGTTGACTTGGCACCTTCGAATGTGCAAGTATCCCAGCAATAGTTATTGTCTCAGAATAGTCTGTTTTATTTCAGGTGAACATCAACAGCCCTGAGCAACAAGCATATTTTTTTGGTGTCTGTGAACGACATTGTTGACGTGGTTGAGAATTATTGGAGAAGGTACGCCGCGATACGGCTATGTCAGTCTTCAAGTAATGGAAGGGCACCAAAATGCCACCAGATTTTGGGTTTGCCCACCGGTGCTTGTCGTCACAGCGAATAGATGCCAACAATCTGCATTTGAATTTTTGTATTATTAAAGGACGTTGCCAACCAGTTATCGACTCTTACCGATATGTGTGCGAAAAAAACAAAAGCTGCTCGATCTCAGCAAAGACAATATCATCAAGAAAGTCGTAATATTAGAATTTCACGTAAGTTCTCTGTGTCAGCCCGAAATTAGATACATCTAGCAATTTCATTTTTGTATAATTCGGCAATACTGTGATTATGATCAGAAAGCATTTTATAACCTAACCGAGAATATTTTCACGCTGTTAATTCTTGAAAAACTGTATTGGTTCGCATTTCAAGTCCCACCGAAATCTGGAATAACGGAGCTATTTTGCAATTATCTTTTTCAAAATACAACGATGTAGGAAAAAACCATAAAAGTCTGTTCAGAAAACGCAATTTCCCTAAAACAGTTAAATCGCTAAGATTTTCCTTCAAACCTTCCGTCTCGGTTAACCATCATAAGTACAAAATGTTCGAAGTATCCTATGATAACATAGCGGACTCATAGCACCGCTACGGTTCACTATGGGTGTGTAAAAAAATGTCGATTTGTATGTAAGTGTTACTACGACTTCAGAGAAAATTCTACCACAAACTTACAAGAAATTTCACTCTGAACTCACACGCCATACGGGGTGTTTCATAAGTCTAGAGGCTTGAGACTAATT